GGTGAGCGAACCGCGGGAGTCAGGGACAGGAACAGGAGGGGAAAGTTTTTTTCCTAACTAAAAGGTGAGGTAAACAGCAAGCTGCAAGCGAAATGGCATGTGTTGCCGGTCTTCGTTGTCTGAAGTAGCCTCATTACGTTTTAAACCCATTGCGGGGGGCGGGGAGGAGGCGGCAGGTGACCGGGAGATGGGCGGAGAGGAAAAAAGGGGGGAGAGGGGAAAGAAGAAACCATAACATGCAGCCTCAACGGAAGCTATACATTTACACGACGTGCAAAGCCCGTAAACTCGCCTCCAACCTCCTCCTCCTTTCCCCCCTTGAAACACACACACACACACACACACACACAAACCACGTTCCATACTCGTTCGCCCCCTCCCTCTCCCCCCTTACCCCCCCCTCCTTCTGTAGGTCGCTGCCGCCATCAACCCCCTCCACAATGCCCTGGCGGCCGCTACGGAGCGCCTGGAGTCCCTTGCGGCCTCCAAACAGGACATCACCACCGCCATCCGGCAGGCGGATGTGGAGCTGGGCGTGGCGCGAGCTATTGAACACGCGGACAGGCGGGGGGACAATTTGCTCAAGGTGGGTGAGGAATGCTGGAATCGATTTACAGGCGCATTAATATAGTGTTTAATAGCTTCAAAACACACGTAGTGGAAAGGCCACACCTGGACCATCCTCCTCCTCCTCGTCCTCCTCCTCCTCCGCATCTTCACCATCATCATCATCATCATCATCATCATCATCATCATCATCTTCACCATCATCATCATCATCATCATCATCATCATCATCATCATCATCATCATCATCATCATCATCATCATCATCATCATCATCATCATCATCATCATCACCATCATCACCATCATCATCATCATCATCATCATCATCATCATCATCATCATCATCATCATCATCATCATCATCATCATCATCATCATCATCATCATCATCATCATCATCATCATCATCATCATCATCATCATCATCATCATCATCATCATCATCATCATCATCATCATCATCATCATCATCATCATCATCATCATCATCATCATCATCATCATCATCATCATCATCATCATCATCATCATCATCATCATCATCATCATCATCATCATCATCATCATCATCATCATCATCATCATCATCATCATCATCAT